GTACAGGCACACACTGCAACACTTCAGCCACGACTGCGAGTCATACACGGGCAGGCGGATACGGCTTAATGGAATAGGAACAGTACAGCTTGAGAGGCAGAGCAGGCACTGGAGGCTGAAAGTGGATTTTCTAAAATAACAGGATAATAGAAACGGGCTGAACTGCCTAAGATGCATTTCAAACTAAGCCCATAAAACAGTGAGTACAGCTGATTGAAACAGTCATTGGCACACTGGCCCACCCTTGTCCACCCGTTTCCCTGAAGGCTCCGCTGCCACTCCCGGCCCTACTCCCGCCCCACCGCCGTCCTGTTACCGAAGGCACTTCCCCTTTCGTCCTGGATTCTGCACACTTCCTCTGCCTGCCATGCTGCTTCCACCCCGCTCCTCACCCGGAAAGTCCTGCCAGCTTTGCAGATGGGCCTGGCCATCTCTGTCTCTGAATCAGCTTCTCCGGCCCCTCTGAGACTCTGGGATAGGCCCTCTCAGCTGGCGCTTCCCCACCAAGGCGCTTTCTGAATCCAACTCTGATTTCCCATTTCCCTTCTTTTCCTTCACATTCCATTCTCTCTCACTCTCACTTTGTTGCCTTCCTGCTTCTGCTTTATTAGGACCATATCTTACTACCTTCTACTGAAGATAACAATGCCCTCCAATTAGCTTCTGAATTCTCAGGTTCATTCTTACACACATACTTGCATCAGGTCTTTCAGATACTGTTTCCCTTTGGATCTGGAGATACTTTGTCCTAAATGTGGGGTTGGCTTTTCCTCTTCACTCATCTTCAAACTGCCAGTGTCTGGCAGTTGGTAAAGTGATGCAATTTGCCTTTCTCCCCACTCTGCATGTGTCTGTCAGTTTTGTCACACTGAGGCAGGCTACTCAAGAAGAGAAGAGGTTGATTTAGATCTGCAGATTCAAGGGCAGGACGCTGGCACTGGCCAGACTCTGGCAAGGGCCTCAGGGCCGGTCACAATGCCAGAAACCAGGGACCACATCCCAAAACAGGCCAGAGAGAGATGGGGTGGGGTTCTCTGCTCACACAACCCTCTTTGAGAACCAACTCAGGGCCCATGAGGACTCCCCAACCTGGCCAGGGCAGTGCCCAGCCTCTCAAAGGACCCACCTCCCAGCATCACCATGCTGAGGATCAGCTCCCAGCACATCGACCCTTGGAGGACAAACTACATCAAAACACTGCGCCATGCAACTGTGCCATGGGGGTTTTTTCCTCAGGGCCATGGCTGGTGAGTGAACTGACTGCCCTGTTCACAGGTCTGCTGCTCCGCTGAGCTGACCTCTTCACCAAACTCAGCTGCCTGATCTTGGGGATTATCAACTACTGTAGTAATTGAGGAATTACCATAGACCATTACTAAGACTGTTCTGAACCATGCTGTAATCTTTCTCCTACATGCTTCCCATCCTAAAGATGGACATTATGCTTCAGTTATTTATTTATCTCATTCTTTAGAGACAGGGTCTTTATATGTAGTTCAGGCTGGCCTTGAACCTACTATGTAGGCCAGGCTGGCCTCAAATTTGGGGCAATCCTTCTGCCTCAGCCACATGAGCACTGGGATTGCAGGTGTGCACCACCACACCCCCGTTATGTTTCAATTATTTCTGCACATCTTTTTCTCCAACCAGATTATAAACGGCTTAAGGATACAGATCGTCTTAATCTATGAATCTTCCACAGATAGCACAAGGTTATGCATATAACAGATATTCCATACATGTTTGTGAAAACCAAGCAAATGTTTGTTGGAGTGAATTCCAATAAAGTTTCCTCATGCAAGTCAACATTGGAAAGACATTCAACATGTTGAAAACTGGTGGAGAGTTGACTAAATTACATTGTTCACAATTGCTGTTTTTTATTCTAGGTAAATCCAGTCCTTCACACACAGTCAGTTTCCAACTAGCTCTTCAAATACTGCCCAGGCAGCACCATAGTTTGGACCCATTGGACAGGAAGGCCAAGCCTGTATACAGCCCTGAGTTCTGAGGCGAAGTTCACTGCTACATTCATCTAATTTTAGGATTCACCACTCCATGCTGCTGTTGGCAATCACATTTGATAAGGAATTGCTAACCTAAATGAAAGGCAGGATTATTCAGACTTTTGGATTAACAGCTTGATACAATGCTTGAAGGGAAAATCAAAGGCAATTCAATGAATGAATTTCCAGGTGGAAATTCTGTACAAACATGTTCCTCTGGAAATACCTTTCTCTTAACTTTTTATTCTTTTGTTGCAAACCTAGCATAAGCAAATAAATCTTATGTGAAAAAAACCATCAATGGGTCTCAGCACAGGACTCTTACAAGGGGGTTTCAGGTATTTCAAAATCACAAAGCCTCCCCTTCAGGAGCGTGATTCCAGTCTGAGAAATGCCACAGTGCACGCTGCTCCTGGCAGCACTGCCAAATCCGGTACTATCTCTGCGGAGCACTGGTCACAGGACAGAGTAGGCAAACACTGGGGAAAAAATTATTACTTAAAAAATGCCTTGGGCTCACTTTTTATTTTTAAATTGAATTACAGATTAGGACATTCTAGTTACTTATTTTTAAGAACACATGAATTCTTACCCAGAGAATTCATTAGGGGGTTTTCTGCTTCCCCTTAATTATAGAGAAGCTTGCAGTAGACCAAAGTGCCACAGAAACTGCTGAACAAGCCGGACTGAAAACACCTGTAAGAAGGCCTTGGTGAGCAGCTGAGGCAATCGAGGACTCAACAGGCCGAGATCCAAGAGAAAAGGGAGCCCTAAGAGGCAACCACACCTCCTGAGAGCCTTGCTCCCTGTCAGGGGCACTGGTCCATATTTAACTGGAGGCAAGAGGCTGGCAAAAGACTTCACAAACCACAATGAAAAGGTGCTCAGATTATGGACATGGAGAAAACTCAATTTAAAACTGTAGGAGACAGTATTACACACTCACAGCATGGTTAAAGTTAAAAACAAAACCAAAAAATCCACCGAGGGCCGCCAAGGTCCTGAACAACAGGAATTTTCACACAGTGCTAAAAGGAGAGAAAAACTATAGTGCACATTTGGAAGATTACTCAGCAGTGTCTGCTAAGGCTAAGCACAAGCCTGAAGTATGATGCAGAAATTGCACTCATAGGTATATCTACAAAAGATGTGTCTCATGGCTCCCCAACAAAAGGCAAGTACAAAATATTACTACCAGCACTAGTTGTTTAAGCTCCAAAGTAGAAATGAGTCAAACATCTGTCTACAACACAGTGAATAAATATCTTCTCATAGCCACACAATAGGCTACTAAATGGCAGTGAAAAAGAATAAACTGCTACTCTAAGCAACAACATGCATTAAAGTTGAGTGGGAAAAAAAGCTACATACAAAGGAGGACTATGATATGATTCCATTTCATATAAAACTCCAAAGGGGGACACTAGGGTAATAAAAGTCAGAGAAGTGGTGGTCTGGGTAATGGGGAGTAATGACTGGAAAGGGTGTGAGAAGCTCCATTCGTGTTCTGTGTTGACATGGGTTACACGGCACATTCACTTCATGAGCATTCATAGAGTGTGGTTATGACATACGGATTAATTCATTAGACATCACGGCAAACTTCAGATACCCACTCCCGTTCCACCTCTTAGTTGAACTATAGTTGTGTTGCACAATTCCTGGGCACCGTTTTTATGGACTCAGTATGAGAAGTGCTTTGTGTAGGAGGTCCCGAATGTAACCCGTGCCCAGCTTCAACTGTGCACATGAGGATTCACATAGGCACCACACTGGCCAACTTCTCTGACAGCTCAGTATCACCAGGTGACTATGTTCCAGCCAATGGGGTATAACGGAAGTCTGGCTGTGTGTTCCCCTGGCTCTTTGCCACCTTCCTATGGACTAGAAAATGGCCAGGTAGAAAAGTTGCCTTGGGCCCAGAGGTGGAAGTCAAATGTTGAGAATGGCTGAGCCGTTCTAATAACCATGCCCACCTACGTGTGGACTGGGCTATGCGAGAAACAAGCTCATAGCTTACTTGAGCCACTGACTTGGGGGAGCTCTTTGTTAGAGCAGAAGATTTGCTCATTAACACAGGCATTAAAGCTGAAGGCAGTTGTAGAAGTTGAAAATGTGGTACCCGTTGTGTCTGATACTTTCACCAACAACAGTATTCAATTATCTTGCTGTCAGTTGGCCACTATACAACCTAGAGAAGACTACAGAAAATAGCATAGGACAAGGGAAAGAGTATTTTCCTACAAGGATGCTTTTCTGGAGTCTCCTAATTCTGTCCCTTAGTAATGTAGAGCTTTCTTTTATAAACTTATAAAACGGAAAGATGTCTAGATGATCCTTGTACATACAACTTGAGGGAAACATTTTTAAAATATGGAGAACAATCTTTTTACTTGTGTAGATTGTTTGTAGTATGGAATCACAATAAATTGTATATTTTCCAAGCCGCACATGCTGGTGCACAGCTGTAATCCCAGCTACAAAGGAGACTAAGGCAGGAGGATCACAAGTTTGAGGCCAACCTGGGCAACATAAAGCAAACACGGCTAGGAGTGTAGCCCAGTGGTAGGGCACTCGCATAACACGTGTGAGGCCCTGGGTTCAATCCCCAGCACCCCCCCACCCCGCACACATACATTTTCCAGGTCCTCCTGCATCGATAAACTCCAATGTTTCCTAAAACAGGAAACATTAACGACCGACAGAGCACTGAGGTAGAGACAGTTAACTGGGCCCAACAGAAGAGGAAGCTCAGACAACCACAGACACTTAAGAAGTTTTGGGTTCTGAATGAAAGGAAACAGATGGATATTTTCTTCCTAAATCCTTTAAGCATCTCCAAGTGTTCTTTTGTTTCCACACTGAGCTGAGTCTGTGTTTATCTGGAAGGAACACACCCATGATACTTCAGGAGATAATGGCAGGCTCAGCACACAAGTGACATTAAAAACCCTCCACACGTGACAAGGTGCAACAATAAACAACTCATCTTACCTGGGGGTTTTTAAATACAGCATATTTTTCCTCTTTCTCCAAAAATAGTACTTTATTTTCTGTGTCTCTTGTCCAGTCTGATAAGACTTCAACAACATTTTCATGGTCTTCAAAAAACCTCTCTGATGAAGTAAGAAAAATATTCTTTCAGACCTAAGACATTAGAGTTTCCAACTGAGAAACAAGCTTTTATTGAGTTAAACACCTTCAGTGCTTTGTAATTTTTGTCAACCTTTCTAAAACTCTTAATTCTTACACGATGTCACATTGTAGTATCCCTGTTATATTTATCATTCAGTGTCAGGTTTTCAATTTACCTTCCAAAAAAACATTATAGGTGAGGGGCAGAACCTGTATACATGCTTTTTAAAAGAATGCTAGCATTTTAAAATTTAAATAGCCCCAAATGGAGGTGAATATTCTCCTGTGAGGAGGATAATACAGCAAGAATTGGTTCCACAGTTTGAATGAAATTTGTCCTCTAAAACATCTCACCTTAAAACTCTAGTGTATGAATACCTGAACCAAATTTAAAAACATAAAGAAAGGCGTTCCTTTCTCTTTGATTCACAGAACTGAAAAAAGCTTCGAGCAGCTGTTTTAGTGTAGACTATTTCTCGCAGAAAAAGAAAATGTCCCCCAGGCTCCTCAGGCAGGTAGTTTTGGGCTCTGCTCAGTGCTCCTGGGAGACGATGGTCCTGGGGGTGCTATTAAGAATGAAAAGTGGAAGTGAACTTCTTAAATTGTTTTAAAACAAAACAAAACAAAAAAACTCCAGTCAGGTGTGGTGGCACACCCTGTAATCCCAGCACTCTGGGGAGTTGATGCAGGAGAACGGCAAGTTCGAGATCAGCGTGGGCAAGTTAGTGACTTAGTGAGACTCCATCTCAAAAATACTACTACTAACAAAGCGGGTGTGGGGGTGTGATGTAGCTCAGTAGGAAGGCCCTAGGCTCAATCCCCAATACTGCAAAAACCAGGCAGACAAACAAAAAATGACAAGTTTCTACCACTGTCCTGTGCTTTTTGGGACACAGCCTTTTCCACCAGACGAAATGCCAGGGATCAGGCAAGTGCACCGGGAGGAAGGGGAATAGCACAGACAGGAGGCTGTGACAGTCCTGCTCCACCTCAAGAAAGCGACCTCTAGAGGGACGTCAGCGGGCAGACACCTGGGCCTCCCACAGTCCGCTCAGCTCACTGGGCATCAGGCCACTTTCTTCCCTGATGGAGCCACTAAGACATGGCAATAATAGTGTTTATGTCCCAGAGGTTCCAGCCATCTGCTACAAGCCGAGTGTCTCTATCACAAGGAAACGAAGAGGCAAGTACGCATCTACTAAGGGCAGCGACATGGGGGATGTCCTGGGAGCACAGGACAGACCAGAGCCTGTAACGGAGCAAACCCATGGGCTTCTGCATTGCAGCCCGTTGCTGGCAGGGGACTTACCGATCTGTAGCTCTGGGTATATTTCATAAAGGCACCAATCCACACTGCAGTCACAGTGAGTCTTCTCAAAGAGGTTGTCCAGAACATCTCGGGCCAGCTGTCGCTCGTCCACCATGAGTGACTTTGTGCTGTTATCGTTCATGTGCACCTTGACCACGAGCTGAGGGTAGAGTCACAGAGCGAGCAGCCAGTGAGTTTCAGCAACTGCAGAAGCCCACTGGGGTCTCAGCATTGCTGCTGTTTCTGAATGCAAGTAAGAATGTGTCTGTGAAGCCTCATAAATGCACTTGTAGGTGTACAGTGGGGTACCAAGGTGGAGAAACTGACTCACAGGAAACAAACAATAAGGTCCTTGCTCCACCCTCAGAGTCTGTGTTCTGCTGGGGACACGGCAGCGCTGCCTTCTCGCTTTCCCAGCGGCCTTCTGGTACTCGTTCCCACCCCATGCTGGAGGCCAGGCACTGCTCTATCATAACTGTTGCTTAGCTGGGGTTAGGGTTTTATTTCATGTAGCCAAAGAGTGTGAAGATACCGGGAAAGACCAATCCTGTGGAGATTCTTGGAGTGCACCGTGACAGTGCAATGCCATGGGCCTCACAGCCAAAAGGCTGACTGTGCACAAAAGAGCAGTGTCAGAGGGAGATTTTAAGGGAAAAGAATGAAGACTGAGAACCAAGCTGTTCTGGAGGCACGCAGGCAAATGTTTTACTCCATTACAAGATCTAAGGAATGAATGCACAATGAAATGACAGTTACCAAATCCGGAGCAGAATGTACTCTGCTTGCAAGGACTGAGTCACCGGCCCTGCTAGGCAATGGGGTAGTGTTGCTGAAACCTGTGATCTCGCACAGAGGCCACAATTTTGACGCTGCACAACAAACTTCATTCACAAACTAACGCAGCTACACTTTGCATTTTCATTGGTACCTATGCATTTGTGGCATTATTGCTGCATGTCGGTCCTGGTTATTTTCCAGGGTGACTTATTAAAAAAATGATTTATTATTGTAATGGATTTGCTTCCTCTCCAAGAGTCTGGGTTAGGTCCTGAGGAGCTCCCTGACCCGTTCCCACCGAAATGGTCCTGACGACCCTCCAGTCAGCAGACTGAGCAGTGGCGTTCCTGTAGGTTGCTACGCAGAGATGCTGGTTGCTAGCGAAGGATATGTCTGGTGACAAAAACCTGGGCGAGACGCAGGGAAAGGCCACAAATCCAAGCACTCACCCAGCCCTCCTCTTCCCAGCATATGCACAACCCAAAGTCAACATGTAGACGCTGGGGAAGTAAACATGTGCTTCCTGCCAGGGATCCACCAAATTAGACCCTTCTCCAAGCTCTGCCTGATAAATACTTTTTTCCCTTGAAAACCTGTAGCCCAGAAACCTGTAGTTGGAATGTTTCCTTCTCTATATGTCTTTGGCTTTGATATATTTTAAATGACAGCCCCAAGTACCACAATGCCAAAGACATATTCATCCAACCTCAGACAGGCATGAAAGGTTGCTCGGATGCACTGAAGCTCCTTGAATGGCAGTCTTTGTCATGATGGATTTTCCTGTGGAACATATACTTTCTGCTGTCTGCTGAGAGTTATAGCTGCAAAGTAGCTACATGTCCTAAGAAATGTTACCAATGTTAGGGCTTAGAAAACAATCTTCATAATGAAAAAATTAATGATGTTTGACCACATATCATCCCTGCTTAGGAATTCTTAAGAGAATAAAACATAATGTTTTACTTTTAAAGAGATGAAGTAATAAACCACATCATTTCAAAATGATAGAAGAATTTTTTTGGCAGAACTCACAAACTATATTTAATCCACATGTACTTATGAATATCCACAATTATAGAATTTAGACAACACAAAAACCAATCGGAGGCTGGTGACTTAACAAGAAGAAATCATATTTACAATTCTTTACAGTTTGCCTCACATTTGCAAGCTGAAAGTAGCTCTATCCAAGATAAAACAGCATTAAATTGCAATTTTGTTATATGATTTAACAAGGTAAGTACTTCCCATATAGACATGCTATTGTATGGGGATAATTCAAGAAAAACTTCATCTTTCTAATCCATTATGGTAAACATTTTATAATTATACATTTTTTCTTATTTTTCATTTTCAAGCTATTACATGCAAAAATATACTGGCCCTAAGTCTCTTACATTGCCTTTTTTTGGCTTTTATAATAAGGTTAACAAATGGAATTGTCTCCTGTGTCACAGAACTTTGGAACAAGCAGATAAGTTAAATGAGTGAATGAAGGTGATTCTGTTTCTAGATAAAAAGCTTTGCAGCACCAGTGATGTACATTATTTGTAATTCAAAATGATTCCAGCACTCCATGAAGCCCTTGAAGGCAAAGTACTTCAGCTGGACCTGATTCCAAGTCTTTACAAACGTGCTGTAGATTGATTATGTGTAAGAACCTCACAGATCCTTTCTTAAGGTCTGAGTGTCTCTTATTTTCTTAGTGTTCCATGCCATGGACAGGTTGTTGTCTTAAAAAGTACATTGGAGTGTCTAAAACCAGGACACGTAACTCGTTTCAGTAATTTTCCTTCCTGTCCCACTGATCAGAGTGGCTTCTGTTTTACATCTTCCTCACTGCATCAAAGCAGACTGCGCTCTGTACTTAGCTATAATTCATCTACACTAAAGGCTGTGAAGTTCTCTCGCTTTCTGATAGATGGCAGGAAATAGCTGCTGCGTCCTCCTGGTCTCTGATGGGCCAGCTGGCGCAAGCTGACTGCATCTGCTGCTTGTTCCACCTCTCTATGTAGGAAACAACTTCCCTTTTTATTTCTCTTCTGAAAATACATGCGATGTGGCCCTCATGTATAATCACCCAGTGGTTTGAAATAGTCTGTGACCTTTGTGTCTGCTCTCTTTTGTCTCTTGTCTCTGCAGGTAGAGCCAGGGGCTCCACGCTGCCCAGCACCACCTGTCGCCTGTGTGTGACCCCAGTCCACACGCACACTTGCATGTCAAGGCTTGTGCTGCCGAGATTCTAGAACAAGGCACCAACTGGTGTTCCTGATACCTACAGCGCATTTTCCACCAGTCAGCCAGTGCGACCTTTAAAAGCCATGCGTTGGCCTCAGCTCCCCTACTCAGCCTCCGGGTCCTGTCCGTTGCATGGAGGACTCAGCCCCAGATCCTCCTGCCGGTTGCAAGGTCTGTGGCTCTCAGCTGCCGCCCTGACCCCAACCCCTTCCTTGCTTTTCTCAGTGGCTCCCAGCAGAAGGGCCGCACTGTCTCTCCTTCCTCACTCCTCCAGCTCCTCCTTAGCTGACCCTCTGTCACTGCCCTTCCCCTGCACTTGGGCTGCTCTGCCAACACCTGCATGTGGCCAGCTGCTTCGTGCCACTGACGTCTTTGCTCCAGAGCCACCTCCTCGGGGGGGCTCGGCACCACCAAACCCATCTGAGCATGACTAGGGCACTCGCTGCTGCCCCTTTTTCCGGTCTCCCTTGCTAGAACGGAACTCAGCACAAGGAACCACTCCATGTGACCTGTTCATGGGGCTAGCAGCTTCCTCGGAGAAGCTTCTAGGGCAGTGGGGAGGGAGACAGGTCATCGTGAAGAGATGGCACACTGGAGTGTGGGAGGCACTGAGGAGAAAAGTAATGCAGGAGACCCAGGGGGCTCAGGGATGCAGTGAGCCTGGAGGGAGGCCTCATGGAGAAGGTGACAGAAGACTCAAGGGCGAACAGAGTGAGCTGCCTGGGAGTCTGAGGAAAGGGCAAGGCACCCACAGGAGGGCCCACCTGGAGGGCCGGAGGGGCAGCATGAGGACAGGCAGCTAGACAGGGGAATGAGGGAGATAATGAGAGATGAGGTCAGATCGTAGAGAGGCATGAGGCCACCAGGAGGGTTCTGGCTTCACTGTGCAGGACAGGCAGTCACTGGAGGCTCTCAGGGAGAGGAAGACAAAGGAGATGACGGAAAGTGGGCACCGGGGGTGGGCTGGTCTCAGACAGCAGCACGACAGCTTGCCCCTTGTCACAGGAAAGAATGTGGGACGTACTGTACCCATGCAGGTGGCTACATGGCTTGGTGTGAGCTTTCTTTCAATTGCTTCTATTTTCACAGTGAAATTAGCAGCAAATCATTAGCTGAGTGACTGCAGATGAGGAGAGCAGCACTGCAGATTTCAAGAGACATGGTCGGAATGGTTTTCCAGATTAGTAGGAGAGTGAGTGGACTGGGGAAGCTCAGGCAGGACCGAGTGCCCAGGACTGAGTCGGGGTGGAGGCTGGATGTGGCCCTAATGTGGGAGAAGGGCCAGGGCAGGTGAGAGTGGATAATCTCAGCCACTGACCGTGGGATTAATCTGCTGTGGTTTGGAGAAGTGTCCCCTCAAAAGTCCCCGTGCTGGAAGAGCTACTGGAAGGTGGTGGAACATTTAAGAGGCAGGACCCAGTCAGAGGAAGTTAGGTCATGGGTGACACGCCCTGGAGGGGACATGGAACCCTGGCATCTTCCTCTGGTTTTCTTTTGCTTTCTAGTCGCCATGAAGTGAGCTGGTTTCCTCTGCCCCAGGCTCCTGCCAAGACATATCGTGTTGCCCAAGGCAGCAGGGCCCCATGACCATGGGCCAAAACCTCTGAAACCTTGAGCCCAAATAAACCTCTCTTTCTTGTGGGTCGACTATCTAGACAACAGTGGAAAGTGATGCTAAAGCAGTGCACATATGTTTGGAATGAATGGAACCAGATTGGTTGGGAAAAGACCCTCCTAGGTGAACCTTGAAAGTCTGCACCAAGGGATTGTCAAGGAATATTTATTGAATTCATCAACATATATTAGACACCATCATTCCAAGAGCTGTGGCAGGTGCAGTGGGAATGTAAAGTGTGAGGGCCCAAGTAAAAAGGACAATTCATCCAACTACAAGTAAAGAGCTCTTAATGAGGCTCAGATCTTGGACACTGCAGGAGTTGAAATAAGATGAAGACTGTTTCTTCCTTCCCTTAGTTTCCCACTTTCACTATTGTTAGCATTGTATTATTAGGTATAGACCTCTAATGAGGTTAGATTATAGCTGTTTGTGTAGTAATAATGTGTTCCTGAAAAACCTATGCATTCCAAAAGTGTGCACTAAAATCACAGGATTCTTGGGAAGTTGGGTTAGAGATGGGTCACTCAGAATCTATGCAACCTAGAAACCGAGCACCAGCAAAGACATGCGGCTCCCAGGAGACGACTGGACAGCCAGGGCAGGAAGCAGTGCCAAAGGCTGCCCCGGGATGTGGGAAATGTGCAGAAGCAATCATGGAAATGCGGGGCCAAACTAAACCGAGCTCTGACCCAACTACAGCAAGCTCAGAAGGTGTGGAGTCCCGGAGAGTGCAGTTCAGGGAGGGAACCCCACACAGATCTGCTGTTAAGTCTCTCAAAAGACAACTGAAAAGGCCCTGCCTGTGTGGCAGCCAGGCCAGTGCCTTGTCCATTCTTGTTAAAAGTAACTAAGATGCGTTATGTACATATACCAACTCCCTATGATGAATGCAATCATTATGTATGGTGAACATGTATTAATAAACAGGAAAAAATTCTAAGACCAGGTGTGGCAGCACATGCCTGCAGTTCCAGAACTCAGGTGGCTGAGCAGGAGGACTGTGAGTTCTACTCCCATTATTCTAGCTCCCAGAAAAACCCAAGAGAGCCAACAAAAGATCAGGCAGAAGTTAAGGAATCTTCCATTTTTATACTAACGTAGGTAGTATACTACCTTACTCATTGATTGTAAATGGGCTGACTAGTGAGACAGAAGAGAAAAATAACAGAATTTATCTTCATCCTTAGAATTAAAAAAACCAACTGTTTGAGAAGCACCACTTAAAGTTCTGATTTTCTTAGTAGTTATTGCGAGATCCCTAATTTAACTCCCCGTGCTGAAGTGAGTCGTAGTTTTTACCTTCTTCACCTTGGCCTCCTTCAGTTTCTCCAGTGCGAGCCTAATCTTGTCAGCCTTGGCCTGGGCTTCTTCTTCTTCCTGTAAAATGGCAAGACATTCACCCAGTCCACTAAGTAATCCCAGTGAGTAAGCGCTCCTGTTGCTAGTGTCTTAGTGGCTTTGTGGGTATTCGGGTTCACGTTTAATTTTGAGAATTTAAATGGCTACAACCAGAATCCTTAACTGAAAGGTATGGAAAGCAGTGAGCACTTCTGTCCTGGGACTTTTGACATACAAGATGAAAGGACGACCGTAGCAGGTCTTCATACAGTTAGACCACAAGACAGTCTCTGCTTGGCTCACAAGGTCAGGGCACCAACTTAAGGACGGCAGAGGACCCATCTTGGGGATTTGAGCACTTCCTAAAATTACACGCACAAGTGGATTAGAAGGCCTTTTGGGGGGATTCTTAAGAAGGTCCTTAACTCCCCAAAAGTTAAGACTTAGACTCAAACGCAAACTTATGAATCACCAAAAAAAGCACTGATGAACAAATATGAGCAGTCAGAAAAAAGAAGTATTTTATGAGCCCAAGTTCCTCTGATTTCTGTAAATTAATATTCTGAAAACAGAATTATTAAGGCATCGTATTTTATAATGAGGAGAAAATGAGCTGTCCTGGTTACACTCTAATTCTTGAAAGTAGACATGCCTCTTATACCAGTGGTTCTTAATTTGTTTTGCCTCTTAAAGAATATGTTGAAAGTGAGGAGTTCTATAAAGCTGCATATTTGTATTGGTTTTCAGGGAATTCATGGCCTCCTTGAAATCTTCCTGGGTCCTATTTCAAGAGCCTTTGGTCTACACTGATTACAAACTTTCAAATAATTTTTCCATAATCAGGACAGAGCACAGCAATGAGTATGACAGAGTTTATTATTTGATTTTTATTTAAAATTTGTTCATTTAAGTGACATTGAAGGAATTTTCAGGGTGACTAGGGGTGTTGTTGTGAACAATGATTATTATCACTGAGTACTTCGCATGTGGAAGCCACAGGAGAATGCGCAGGGTTCTTACTCTAAAATATTTCCAAGGGCCTGACTCTAAGAAAGATCCTCAAAAGTGATCTGCTTAGTTTTATGAGAGACACAGTATGAATTAATGCTCCAAATAACAGCAATATGAAGTTTCTAGGTGTTTGTTTCTCCAAAGACCACTTGATTTATTAATATCAAGCACGCATGACATACCTGACTTACATCCTTCCCAACTCTGACATTATGAGTGCTATGTAGATCTGTTTTTGCCCTCTTGATCGGGACTCCCAAAGTCATCAAAATTCAATCTAGTTCAACTCAGAGAATATGTAATGGGTATATTTTATTATCTATGTACTGGGCTAGAAGCAGGGACATGGAAATATATGTATTAGCTCCAGAGTTCATTCAAAGTTAATAAGATACTTCCCCTCAAGGCTGACTACATCAGGGAGTGTGTATATATGAATATCCTTTTTAACTAAGCTATGATAAACACTAAATATGGCCTTGATATGTGATTTCTATACCTGCTATGGTCTGAATGTGCTCACCAGAAGTGGCAACAGAAAATAGACTAATACAACACTTAGGCTTCTTGTTTATGGAGAGCTCTGGCACTGCAATGGATGTACTGGTTATCCTTGTCTTTAGTATCTCAGAGATTTGGGTATACAAACTTATAAATGTAATTACCATGTGAAAGAAGGTTACAAGTGATAGGTGGCAGAAGTCAATGTTTCTACCTTCTCTGGCCCCATGCACTTACCTTAGAGAGAGGTTCAGGAGGTGGTGGAGGCGGTGGAAGGTCTAACATGGGGTCAGCTGGTGGAGGCGGTAACTCGTCCTCATATTGGCTGATGTTGACTGCAGTGACATTTGCTCCAGAACCCACAGAGGCATCACCACTGCAATCTGAGGCCTCCAGGGATGCTGCGTGATTTTGACTTTGAGAGGACTCTTTCTGTGCCTGGATTGTCCGCTGCTCTGCTTCACTTATGTCTGCTACCAGATCGGCCATGAGGGCATCTAAATCTTGGTCTTCCAGTGCATTTAGGGACTCTGATGGAGAAAATCACATCAATAATAAAGAACTGTTTGCATCTGCAAAAAACTAAAAGAAGATGAGTTTTACAGGAGTTATATTGGTGTAGAAGGAAATCATTTTGATTTTGGTGACATAATGAGAAGAGTTGAAAATATTTTTATTCAGCAGCACACACATAGCATAGAAGTTTCTGAGGTGAATATTGCTGAATTTATTGAGTGCTTAATGAGACTAAGTTTCTAACAGAAGTAAAGCAGAAGCTGTGTTCTACACAGGGCATCTCAGAAATTAGCTATGAAGTCAAGTCTGAGCACACGAATCGGTCCCCAAGTAGGAACTCTTGAATAGTTTAGTGCAATATCTTAGGGTTTTAGAAGAGAAGGGGTGGGTAGTGGAAAAAGATGGAAGGTGAGTTCTTCCCGTGCATTCGGACTGCACAGTTTTGCTGATAAATGTTATTTGGAAGAAAGTTGATTTCAACCAACTGGATTTAACCCAATTTAAGACTAGGGTGAAGATGGCTCTCCACCCACCACCTACAGGAAGTCTCACATTTAAGGAAAGATCAGTTAATGGTAAATAACAACAATCAAAGCAGTAAGGTGTTAAGGAATGAAAACTATTTTTAAATAGCTGGGAGTGAATTTTGAAAATAAAGGGCAGACATGGACTTTCAAAGAGAAAGCGAGGGAGGTGGGTTTGCCTTAGATTTCTTCCCAGCGCGAGGCCACTGTGAGATCACAGGCAGGACTTGAGAGTGACCGGGTGGCCTGGTGTACTGAGAGTCGTGCTCATGAGTGCAACAAAGAGAGGAAAGCAGGATGCAGGGGACCTTGAGGAAGACAATTCCAGCTGCTCTGTGCAGGATGGGCCAGAATGGGAACATGACCACGCAGAGGAAAGGCTGCTTAGGCCCGGGGAGGTGGCTCAGTGGCGCCGAGCCTGCCTGGCAAGCCCAAGGTCCTGAGTTCAAGGCCTGGTACCGAAAATAAATAAGTAAATAAAGGCTGCTTAGTATCAAGTGAAAGCTTTGTGCAATAATTGTCACCACACATCATCCACACCATGGAGCGTCACGCATCAGGACTAGCTCAGTGTGGAGTACTCACAAGTTTGGATCACCTAGTTACAGAACCCAGATTTTATTGTAAGACAGTTTTACACATAACGTGTTTATAATGGAAAGTTAAATTAACTTAAAATATTTTCAGAGAAAAGTTGCATAAGGACTAAAAGAGCTTGTTCATAATTTCCTAACATAATCACATTTTGGCTGTTAACATAAAGACATTTTAATTCATTGTACATATCGTAGTGACAAAATTTCCACAATGGCACTTGTATTAACAATTTTCAAAGACAATCTGATATGTTAAATTATATTATTTATGGATATATTAAGAAACAAACCAAAATATATTAATATAGATTAAATGACAGAGATTCATCACATTTATTAATATAGAATTGAGTAATACAGAGCTGAGGCATGAGATTGAAACGGATTCAATTCTGATGTCTGCCACTAATTCTCCGACTTCGGGCAAAGTATTTTAAACTCATTTTAGCAATATTTTAAAGTGAAGATAGTAAAAAATATATTCCTATGTTAATTTTCAAAAAATGTAGTTTTCTATATACAGCAGCACATTTTAGTGGTCTGCTCTCACCTCCAGAATAGGACACGTCTTGTGACTGTACCATTACAGTTTCAGAGACTGTAGGTTTCTTTGTTCCTATTATCTCTAGTTTTAAAAATATATATACAAGGCATTGTTAGTGCTTAGAAAACATCAGTTGACTTGACTCCAGCTGTACTAAAATGCTGATTAATTTTTCTTTTTGGTACTGGGGATTGAACTCGGGACCTTGAGCTTGCGCAGCAGTAATGCTGATTAATTTTAACCAGACTGATTTTCCGCACGGCACCCACCTATGTGTGGGGTGAGGATGCAGAATGGGAGGACGGGGCAGTATCATTTAACTGTCGTTGTCGCAGTGTTACAAGAGGCGGTCACGTGTTTGGAACTTGGCAGACGACTGATATTTACACTTATACGTTTATACGACCAATAGAAAAGAGTGTAGGAAAAACGAAAAGCAGAAGAGCTATATTCTAATTTATCGGGAAACAGTCACCGATGCCTAATGGCTTACCAAAAACTAAAACTGCTGGAAATGACAGAAACAAAGAAACTCAGCCGAGGGAAAGAAATACAACTTGGAACTCTGGATTTCTGTAATTACCCTTCTCTCTCAAATTGTTTTATTTTACACTTTTGTAGGTACTGCATATCTTTGGTGAATCTTTTTCAAGAGTTCCAGTGAATTCTCATTAATTTGGAAGTAATTACTCAAGATTTACTGTAATTTGAATACCATGTGAGCTACAGATTTCTTCTGCTCTAAATACAAAACTTGGTTAGTAAAACAAGGAGTCAAGCTCAGGGAGCATGAAAAAATGTGAAACAGAGCAAATTGTATATAAGTATATATGACATAAATTAAAACATACTATATTTTAAATAAGATATTTCATATTTGAAGTATCCATATACATTTTTAATCATGATGGAGAGTTTTTAATCCTCAAAGGAATATTTCCTTATTAATATTTATTCATACCACTCATTAGTATTATGAAGAAACTTCCCTTACTTCAAAATATGAGATTGTTTTGAGACTTTTTACAAATGTAGGAAGTATTCCCTTTTCAGTACATGCAAAAAATCTCATTAATTCTCTTCCTTCAATCTAGACACAATAAGGCACAATCTGAAATCCAGGACTTAATATTTATCATGACGTCCAGGTCTCTTTACTGTGGAATTCAAATCATACTTGTCATAGAGATTTCAGTCCTCAGTAAGAATTTAAATTAGTTAAGAAAAGAAATTGCTATACTCACCATTTAAGTCCTTAAAACCCACAGTGTAGTTAAATTCAGGCCTGGGAGGGTCAGGGTCAGGGGGAGGAAGAGTGTCCACTCCCAAACTCTGTGAAAACAGATCCCGGCCCCCAAGAGTTAGTCAGGAAGCCACAGTTCTGTAGCACATGCGAACCAGCTGGTCAAAACCCATTCATTCTTTACACATTTTCTCTCTAAATATTACCTTTAACAACCAAGTTCTTAGTTGAAAATACTTTATGCTATTGTTTCCCTACAGAAAATTACAAATTAAGAAATTATTGTACAAGGAACATTTTGAAATTGATCATGTCAATTGAGAATGATGAGAAAGAGAGAACTTAAAAAAGAGAGAAAAAATTTCTTGTAATGATGAATACATATACTATATATAATTTTATAAGGACTTAAGTAATGACATCAAAGAAAGAAATATCTAGAACTTGGAGGAGAAAAGCCGTTTCAGGTGTAATTTGCTATTATATAGTAAAATGTTGTGCTGTTACTTTTACTAACATGCTTGTGAAAAAGGAAATCACAGCACTAGGGCCGCAGCTCAGCAGTAGAGTACTTGTCTAGCATGCCAGAAGCTCTTGGTTTAATTCTCAGCAAAGAGAATAAATGATCAATTTTGTAAATATTGTTGTAAGTATTGTTTTCCTTGAAACTAAGAGACCTCTTAAATGACTTAAAAGTCATATTTCCTTCATAAATTAATTTCCAGAAATATTCTTATGTCTCTAATGTGAGAAGTGATTTTACCTGTTCTCATACATAAATGTTTTATAGTGGTGAATGTATCCATTGATGTTAATTTGATTTGGTAAATAATATTCTTGTCCATTTTTTAAAATTCTGGAAGAAACCATTGTACATTTAAAAATAAATAAAATATGATTAATTTTAAGCAGAAAAAATGACCATTAATCAAAAGGCTAGAAAAATCAGCCCAATCAAGTTAGAACCAAAGATGAAATGTAGGGAAAAGTAACAACCTAAAAATTCATTGTTAACAACAGAATGAAAATGCAAAAATTGCCTAGGAAATGGGAGCTTGATGGACACACTCTGAGGCAAATACCAGAACAAAAAATTTGGTGAAAGGAAATACAAAGAGCCGGGCATTTAGCTCAGTGGTGCCGCCTGCCTCACAAGAGCAAGGTCCCAAGTTCAATCCCCGGTACCAAAAAAAAAAAAAAGAAAAGAAAATACAAGGAGAGATGCATTCACTGAATTTGTTTTTAATATTTTAACTAAGAAGTCTACACCACAATTATGGTAGTCAATAAATTTTTTTAATAATATAATTCACTCTGCTATTTAGTGAAATTCCAAGTAGTTCTTTAACAAAATATGAACGCCTAAATTTGTGATAAAACAGGATTTTAGTAAACTGGAGGGAAAGAGGGAACAAAGAAAGAGCAAGCTGATTTTATAAAGGAGGTCCTTTAATTGTAGAAAAAATATTCAAAGTCCAAGATGAAGTGAAGTATGTAATGTTTCTCACTATACATCTTGTGTGGCTTATGAAATGATTTTATGTGTTATATAAAATCAGGTATTAAATACGCATATTACTGTGTATCTATTTGAATGCTTGTTAGGAAAAAGTTAAATTAGAACATCAAACCTGTTTGACATAAGGTTTAATTTTTAAGAACTCAAAGATAAATGTTTAGAAGATAATAAAACAGATGGGTTGTAGGTATGGCCAAAACCATGAAGGTGAACAACTAAAGTTTGACAACACTGCTTAGTTAAAAGTCACATATTTGAAACACATTTTATTAGGATTTGCATTATTTTGATTTTCTAATTCTTCCTTTATTTTCAATATATTAACTGGAATTCTTCTACAAAGAGCTTTCATCAATTATTTACCCTGAAATACACTTCAACTAGGACTAAAGGGAAATTAAAATAAATGCTTGATTCTTCCTCTTTATTAATTTTCCACAGCAATAAGTTGATGCTCAGGCAGTTTCCTATGGTGACCAATTAAGAAAGTTTTTTTTTTTTTTGGTGGTACTGGGGATCAAACTCAGAGTCTCATGCCTCATACCGAGGCAAGTGCTTTACCACTGAACTACATTCCCAACCCTGAAGTTTTGTTTTTGTTTATTTTTGATATTATTATGATCTTTTAATTATTTACTTTTTGCTATGGAGAAATAAAAATATTTTATATTTAAAAATATTTCATAATTAAGAATAAATGAAATATTATGGTTTCTGTGTATTTTATCTTCCTTAGGAAAGCTATCTATGTTTTGAGATTATAAGGTTATATAAATATTTCTCCTACTTTTTTCTCCTTGTATTTCATATGCAATATTTAGATTTTTGACTCATGGACCTCATTAAGATGTAGGGTGTGAGGTAGTAGTGCAGATTTTTATTTCACACGTGTTATCTCAAGACAATTTATTAAATGATAATTTCATTTATTTTAGAATGCTATCTTATGCAGGACATATTAATTACCTTTATCAGGATATATAAATAACCCGAGAAAGAGAAAATAATAATGCAAATTAAGTAAATGTTAATCACTGAGAACTCTGGGAGAAAATTAAATGTGGAATCTTTGTATTATTCTTTCAATTTTTCTGTAAGCTTAAAATTATTTTAAAAGAAAAAAGTTGCAATCGCATGTAATATACTAGTTCCCTTAATTTTTGCTTATTTTGGGAAGTTAGGAAGACCAAGCTTTATTCATTCCTCTCAATCATAACCTAGTTTTAAAGAACAGAATAAGTGCAGAATTCACAAATGCAGATGAAAACAGCAGATTTTCAAATGGCTAGAAAAATATTCAATAACCTCAAAAGCAATTGATAATGGTCAAATGGAAGAACAGACAGACGTGAGGACAAGGGAGGGCCTCTTCCATACCCTGCAACTCTGCAACCTACCTCTTGGGAGAGCTCTATTAGCCAAGAAAATCTCAGAACGACAAGCACTTGCACACCAGAAAGGAAGCGCAAAGCCCGAAGGACCTTGAGTGAAGAGAGCTCCAAGAAGCAGTGGCTCCTCCTTCCTGCTCTTGTTACAATAACAATACTCAACTGTGGATCTGTCAGTGTCCCAGACCCTGACCCGCTATGACAGTTACTTCTACCACTGGCTGCAGAAGTGAGTGAATGTGCAGAGATGGACAACCAACATACACTCAACTTGCTCCTCTCTGGGAGGAAAATAAAGTCCTCATCTATAGAAATGTCATCATCATCTTAACACTCACCTCTTAAGCAGGCAACCTTTCATCAAAGAGTATCTCTTCTTTCATAGAATCCAAACTTTTTGAAATTTTATTGGCAATATAAATACATGCTAACTAAAATTGCTTTATTTTTTCTTAAAATAGTCTTCTTAAACATAGACTCATTTACTTTGTAGAAAACTCAAGATCCTCATCTTAGGAATACTGTTCTGGCTTTTCTTATTTTGATATTTTGTGCAAAAAGTGATGAGCTGAGTATCCTCTGAACCAAAGCAATATTTTTGAGAACATTACAAAACATACTAAAGCTTCCCAGATTTTATAGCCTGGGGCAGTGGCCTGGCGTCAGCGGACACAGTGGGGGATGCCTGGGTCAGTCTGGTCTTAGCAGACCCACAGTCTACGGCGGCATGGCTTTCACATTCCTGTTAGGGAACTGAGTCCATTGAGGAGACCGTGCTAATGCCCACTTAGTCCCTTAAGATGAGGCCTTTCATCCAAGGTTGATAAAAAATTCTTTACTAAGGAAGATGACATTTTATTAGCTCATCTTTAAAAGAGTAACCACAGGGAAAACTGCTCAGCAGTGGGGCTGTGGAGGCACCTGGCGAAAATTCTTCTACTGGACATGATAAGCAAGAGCACTGTCAAAAGAGAACGTACGTATGCCCAACATGTTCAATTAACTGAATTCAGGAGAGAATCAGAACCAACCTTTACCCCTCACTCCTGTCCCAGTTACATCAGGAATATGCAATACTCAGTCTCCAGTTTCTATAAAAGATAGACTTATCATATTAAAATCAAATGCTATAATCCCATTTTTGTCCTAATTTGCAGGTTAAGAAGGGAAGCTTACCTGAGTTAGAAGATCCATCTCTCCCAGCAAAGTGCTGAACATTTGGTCTATATCATCATTTGACTCACCCATCTGAAAAAGGGGGAAACCCAGATATTTAGCAGTTTGATAAAAGCGTATCCTGGGATAACTGTTGTTATAGCTTGAATTTAGATTCCCCATCACAGTTCATGATCAACCATGACTGTGGTGCAGTGCAAAAGGATGACAGATTACTTGGAGTCCATGTCCAATCCATGCTCCAAGGGGGCTCAGAGGGGCTGCCATTAACCGAGATCCCTCAACATGAGAAATCTCAAAGGACAGCTGACCTAAAGACTCTGCAGCTTTTTATTAATTGAACCAGGAAGCAAGGATCAAAGAAAAAGAATGGAATCTAGGCAGGGACTCGTGTAGGTGACAGGGGAAGAATGGGGCAGTGAGGTTGGTCTGTTAAGTGACTAACTCTGGAACTAATGTAAGTGATAAAGGAAAACAGGAGGACAAAGGGCAGAGCATTTACTCCTTAAGGCAATGCATTTTGATCCTACTGTGACTTGTGGCCCTGGCAGGCTCTTTATCTCTAACCAGGAACTCTGGGAGGATTTAGGCTTGTGGCTTGAAAAGTCCCTATCTCTGCATATCTATCTCATACATTCCCCTGGCCAACACCCCCCATATCCCCCAAAACCCTCATGAGGTCCTGGGGAGGGGGGCATTTCAGAGGTGGCTAGATTTATGGCCTGTGAATGTGGATTAAGGGTGTGATACTGGGATTAAGGGTGTAGATAATGGAAGTTCCATCTGGAGTGTGGGAGGCACAAATAGCCTGGATGGAAGATAAAGGGATAGAAAGAAGGCACTCACTCCTGCTGCTGCTGCTGCTTGCTGCTGCTTCCTGCCTCCCACACCATAGACTGTTTCTCCTCTGCAATGCCACTCGGCCATGCCACCCCGCCTTGCAGCCAGAAAACTATAAACAGAAACCTCTAAAAACTGTGAGCTGAAATAAACCTTTCCTCCTTTAACTTGTGAGTGTCAGGTATTTTGTCTCAGTAATGAGAAAAAGAACAAAGATAATTATCATGTCACTTTATTTTCTCCAAGAGCTCCATCATGAGCTGGTAAGTTGGGAAGAGAGCTATATGGAGGGAAGGGTTCATTTTACCCCAAAATTCCATGCCGGATCTCCATCCAATTTGGATGGTCCAAGATGGAACCAAGCCTTGGGAAGTGCTCCACACTAAACTAGACTCCTTGGGGTCAAGTGGATATTATCCTCAAATTGACCTCACCATGGGACACCTCATTAGAAGAGGAGAAAGCCTCACATGTAGGTTACCATGTCAGTGAAATGCAGAACTTCACCTCCATTTAAACACTTTCATGAAAAAGGTATGTCACATTTATCAAATGGTTTCCTGCTTTAAAGATCTCCCTAAAACAGCAGCTGTTGGTACAATTAATTAGAAGTACTGAGCGATGAACACTTAGCACTAAAGAGTTCACATGATTAAGAAAAAGGAGATGGAAATAAAGCTTTTTTTTTTTTTTTTTTTGCTATATACAAGAAACACATTTAATCTGGAAAGACAC